TGAGAATGCTGCCCTACTGTGTGTCTGTGTGAGTATGCTGTCCTACTGTATCCGCGTGTGAGCATGCTACCCTACTGTGTGTATGAGCATGCTGCCCTACTCTGTGTGTGTGTGTGTGTGTGTGTGTGTGTGTGTGTGTGTTCCCCATCAGGCTGTGAATGCCTTGCGGGCAGAAACTAACCCAGCCTAGGGCTCAGGCATATTTATTAAACAAGAAAGGAGTGACTCTCAAGTGCAGAACTAGGAAGCTGTCCTTGGCCCACTCACCAGTGAGGTCAAGAGGATGACTTGCTGTGTCACCTTACAGAGGTCACTTTCCTTTTTGGGCCTCAGATTCCCTTCTGCACAGTGGAGCGGGGGCAGGACTAACCAAATGCTCTAACCCTGGGGACACGTGGGCACCTGCTGCTAACCACATGTGATAAGTAACACCTCAGCACAGACCCGAGGCACCAAGGACCCCGAGGGATCTGAAGTGGAAGGCCACAGAGCCAGGAAGCAGCATGGACTGCAGAATTCAGATCCAGGTCTGGCTTGCCCACTTCCACATCTGCCGCAATTTGGCAGCATGACATTGAACCCACCTCTGCCCCTCCCTGGGCCTTCAGTGCTTTGTCCATCAGAGGAGCAGATGGGCTCCTTGACCTTAGAACTCAGATCCCCCTTGGTGTGAAAATTCAACGCCCAGAGCTTCTAAACCCTGGCTGGAGGGCCCACTGTTGTGCCCTGCCCTGGTCCCCATAATCTTTCAGGGTACAAATAATACAATATTTCTACCCAAGAAGTAAGAGTGACAGATTTTAGGAGGAAGTGATTGGCATAAGAAGGGTTGTTTGTGGCCAGATGTGGTGGCTCACACTTGTAATCCCAGCACTTTGGGAGGCCGAGGCAGGTGGATCACAAGGTCAGGAGTTCAAGACCAGCCTGTCCAATATGTGAAACCCTGTCTCTACTAAAAATTACAAAAAGTTAGCTGGGTGTGGTGGCACACATCTGTAATCCCAGCTACTCGGGAGGCTGAGGAAGGAGAATCATTTGAACCTGGGAGGCAGAGGTTACAGTCAGCTGAAATCGTGCCACTGCACTCCAGCCTTGGTGACATGGTGAGACTCTGACTCACAAAAGAAGGAAAAGAAGAGCTGTTTGTAAGAAGGGCTGTTTTCAGAGCAGAGGTTACAAAATATTTTTTCTCCCAAGACTCCAAGACTTGAATGTCCTCAAAGCCAGAAACCAAGCAGGCGGTCTTGCTCTCTGGGTGGTCGTTACAAACAGAAAACTCACAGAGGTGAAGACTTCATGCCAGGAGGAAAACAAGGCAGCAGCTTAGCTCTGGATGTTCCCTTTTCTACCAAATTATACAAAGCAACACGGGGAAGAACAAAAGTAAGAGACAGAAAAACCCATGAACTCCCAACCACGAGTGAATGTGACCCAAAGTACCTGCCAGCGGCAGACATGGCAGTGTGGGGGGCGAGGGGGAGGCAGGGGGCTCAGGAGTGAAAGACCCCAGAAAAGACCACTTTTAAAAAGGAGATGGTGGAAGACAGGAGCTATGGCCACAATGAACTGGGAGCGCTCAGGGCTGGCGGCGGATGACCTCTTGAGCCAGGTTAGGCTCTGGATGTGAAGGAGAAGTGCAAGCAGAGAAAGGCCACATTATTTTTTGTTTTTTTTTTGAGATGGAGTTTCGCTCTTATTACCCAGGCTGGAGTGCGATG